GCTCACGGTGTCCTCAGGATCACAAAGGTATCCAGATTTAAAACAGGTTATGTTTCCCGCATGTAAAAGGGTACCAAAAATTATTTCCAAAGCCACGTATTCCTAACTTCAGGCAAAATTTTGAAAATTACATAATTTCTTAAACATACAGCATATTAAAGCAATGCATATTAGTTATTCCTTCCCCCTTTAACAGAAATAATATACTTATTGCTGCAGCAGAGGTCCCGTACTAAAATGCCACGCCATTTGTATAAGCAATAAATGCTTCATGCTTGTGTGCGCCCTTGTTCTGAAGAGAAGCTGACAGCACTTTGTGCCAAGTATTCACCCTGGTGTCACACTCACATAGCGAGTGGTCCAAGGTTTTTGTGGGATCGTAGCAGCTGCTGGAGCAGACGTTCAAAGTTTCTAAGACAAGTTTCTATGTCTACTTGGGGGATGAGGCATGGGCACATGGGAGCTAGCCTGGGTTTATAATTAGCTTTTACTTAATGCTTTCACATGCACAATGTCCCGTGTGATGGGGCCACGGAAACGACAAGCCCTGAGTGCTATAACGTAGCAACTGTGTGCAGAGAGAAGACTTCACAATTGGAGTGAGTGGACTCCTGAAGGACAGTAAAGGTTACTGGTTTGGAGCTCTGCTCAGAATCATTTAAACACTTTGCTTTTTCTTTCTACATTTTTGATACGTTCATGTGGCTAGTTCCCGTGGCTCTCCAGTGGTTTGACATGGAATATTATCAGGATGCTTTTGGCTACAAGTAGCAGAGTCCTTGCTGGGACTCCTCACCACAAGTGCAAGGTTGGGTGTTTGCCTGGTCGATTCCAGCTCTCTCATGCTGTTCCCTTCATGCTTAATTTCAGCTTTATCCTGAAAGGGTGGATTCCTTTCATCATCCTCAGGATGGCTCCTAGTTGCTGCCTGAGCTTTACAATGCTTGTTTATGGCCGGTAGGTATGATGTGGGGCAGGAGGGGGGTGTCTCCCACAACCATGGAAAATAAGGTTACTCCTCTTCAAGCTCACTGGGCCAATTCAGCATTAGGTCTGTGTCCTGGCACCTCCTACCCTTGTACATTCCCAGGAGAGTGTCTCGTGCTTAGCCTAACTCAGACGAATCATTTAGAGTAAACTGCGGTGCCCACAGGAGGATTATTTCACTACGAATTTTTAAATCCCTTTCGCTCAGTTGTCACCCCGGAGGCAGGAGCTCCTCCCCCGGGGAAGTTCCCGCTGAGCCCCTCCCCTTCAGGAAGGAGACCCAGGGCTCCGAGAACCACAGAGCTTTGCTCATGCCTCTCTGAATTATCCAGATGGCAGGCTGGCGCACCTAGACGGCTTGCCACCAAATCCTGGTTCTGCCACCCTATAGTTGTGTGACCTTGGGCAACTCATTTGAGGTCACTCCGAGTCACCTCTGCCCTCCGGAAAGAGAGGATGGTTGTGGTTCCTATTGCTTGTGGGGGTTAAATGAGTGGCGGAGTAAAACACTTGGGTTCGAGCAGATGTTGTTAATAAATATTAGTTACTAGTACCAGCATCTTGCAGCAGAGGGTCCCAATTTGTTTCTTCTAAAGTGATCTCATGTGGGACACCGATTCGCTGCTATTTGTTGACTATTAATTCAGCGCTGCTCCAGGTTGTTTCTCCCTTAACCCTCAGAACAATCCCGAGGGCGCCCGATCTCGTCTGATCTCGGAAGCTGAGCAGGGTCGGGCCTGGTTAATACTTGGCTGGGAGAACAATCCCGAGGGCGAGGTGTTGTTATGCCCTGACTACCCCGAGCAAATGGAGAGTCAGAGAAGTGAAATGGGCTGGGCCGAGGTCACCCAGCTCATGAATGACAAAGCCAGGACTCAAACCTCGTCCTCTTTGAACCGTCCTCTTTGAACCGGGAAGCCCACACTTTAAAAAAGGTCATTGTTCTTTTCAGTCATTAAGTGAGCACCAACCAGGAAGCATGCACATAAACATTTACTTGCCACGTTTACTATTAAGTTTTTTGTCTTAAGAATGGAAAGGTACCACATCTAAGCCACCTGCCCTCTCTGTCCCAGATATTACAGAGCTGGGCGACGCGTCTTTGTGGGGCCTGGCTGGTTAGGAGACAGGGTCTCTGTGCTTGCCATCAGCTTCTCCCCAGACTGTGTCCCCGTTTCCTCAAAAGCCTTTTTATTTGGCAAACATACCTCTATCTCTGCATTTGCTGGGAGGTCAACGGACTTGTATTTTTTTCTCCATTGCATGGGAAACTGCCTGATCATATTCATATGCATACGTTTGGCCAACATTTATCAAACGCCAACCGTATGCTGGGTCTCTGCCCAGTCCCGAGCACACAGTCCCTGCCATCGAGGACAGAGTGGGAATGACCTCGAGATAAGACGTGCAGCAGTCCTGAGAACGCACAGCAACGCTCGTTAAAAACGGCCACGTTCGCCAAGTGCCTGAAAAATGATATGATTCAGCATGTTTATGGGAGAGGAAGATTCAGGCTAACTTTACAAGGAAAACAGCCTTCAGAAGACTAGGAAAAGCAGGGAGGAGCACTGAAGGCCCCTTGGAACAGAAGTGTGAAAGCGCATCCTGCGTGCGGGAAGGGGGTGTTTCCCGGATGAGGCCAGAGTAGGGGGTACAGTTTTGGGGAGAGATGATGGGCGGAAGGTCGATTGAGGCTGGATTGTGGAGCGCTTTGATGTTACCACGAGGAGTGGGGACTTCGTCTTGTGGGCCAGAGGGGGAGGAGGGCATCAGTGGTTTGGCCGCAGGGGCGTGCCTGTGATGAGGTGTGTATTATAGGCTACCTAAGAGACCGTGGTGTGGAGGAGCGGGGAGGAAGGAGACAGAAAGGGACCCAAGAACCGGAGGCTAAAAGGGTGATGGCAGACACACGGGAGACACATGCAAGAGAGGCAGCAAGGCTGGGACCCCAGGGAGGCTGGGGTAAGATGCCCTGGAGGAGGACATGGCTGGAGGCTGCAGGGAACGTGGCTCCGCATGGAAGTCGAGGCATGCAGTTGGTCCTTCAGGACTGGTGACGCTCCGTGCGACACTCAGTGAAGACCTCAAGCCACTGGGGACCGGGTGGGCTACCAGGCTGGAGATTTGGGTTGTCAGACTTAGCCAATGGGCACTCGGTTCAATTTGAACGTTAGATACACAGTGAATGACTTTTAAAATACTTCTTATGGTAAGTATGTCCCGTGCCATATCTGGGGCAAGAAATCTTTTTAAACTATAATTACATCTCAGATATGGCACAGGACATACTCCTACTAAAATACGGTCATTCACTTATCGGACTGTTGAACTGGATGTCCTCTATCTGATCTGGTGACCCTACCTGCGAGGTGCCAAGGTAGAGGGCTCTGCACCCCGACCCACCTTCCCCTGGCCTGCCAGGCCATGCTATGAGCTGGACATGGGTTTTTTTAATTACTAAACCTGGGATGTCGCAGGCAAACTGGGATGAGTGGGTCACTCTAGGCTGAACAGATGTAGCCTGAATTGAGTTTTGAGAATCTTCTGACCCTTCTGCCACCTCCGGGGCGCCTTCCGTTGGGGCTGGGGATGCGAGCACCTGCGTGCACTGGGGATCTCAGCAGGCCAGGGGTGCACACCCCAGCCACCCCTCTGGGCAGCCTCCCATCTGCACCGCGCCGTCTGTTGCCTCGGCTGTGCGGAAGATTCTCAGCCCTTACTGGAATTTTCCTTTGCTTTGCATTTTTTTTGTCTTGAACATTTGCTGCTGATTTAGTCCCGTTTTAACATTCTGTCTGGTCGAGCTGTGGTCCTGTCTCCAACTCCTCTTCTTCCAGTCCCTGCCTTTCCTTCCTCTCTGTTCTGTGGAGTCTGACCCCCCCCCCCCACGGGCTGCTTATCAGCCGACGGCGCCCGCGGGCCTGCACTTGGCCCCCGCGTCTCCCGACGCTGAATCCCAATGCTGTTCCTCTGCCCAGGCCCGTGTGGGAAGATGTGCGTGAGCGAAGAAGCAAGCTGGGCTCATTTACAAGTTTTCTTCATTTGCACCACCTCCGTTGGTACAAAAGATGTTTTTTTTTTTTTCTATAAAAAAACCGCAGCAAACATGTCAACAGCGCCTTAGACGAAGACAAGTTCACGCTCGGCCGTCTCTGCCGTCGCCGTCCCGGCCCCGGTGCCCGAGGCGCCTGCGCAGTGACCGAGCGGAGGCAAAGAACTGGGCAGCTCGTGGTCGGACGCAAAGCCTGGAAGACACACGGTGAGCAGCAATAGGAAGGAGCGGGGGTGACACGGAAGAGCAACTCGCGATCCACCATCAAGTAGGGTTTGCTCGCAGTCTTGTTTACGACTTTCGGCTGCGTGTGCGCCTCCAGGAAGAGCCGGAGACCGGCGGGCGAATCCTTCCCGAGTCCCAGCGGGCGGCGGGGGTGCTGGACCCAGTGGCAGAGCCTGAAGACAGCCCGATCACTTGCCCAATAAGAAGCGTTAGACACCACGTCTAGACGTCATTATTTTGGCCCTGAGCCAAAGGAAGCATCTAAGGCCTTTATAAAGGACAGATGTCCCGTACAGGGACCGTGCTGGGCACCACCTGTCCAGCGGGTCTCCAGCCTGCGGCACAAACACTTCCGCACTGACAACTGAGTTTCGGTTGAGTGACTGACAATCAGCCTTCACTTGCAACAAATAATGAGCATGACTTTCTAAGTGTGTCGGTGGCCCCAAACCATCTGATAGCTTTTACCAGCTCTCGAGCGGTATATGTATAGTATCGCTGCTGTTTATGACACTTGGACTTGTGCAGAGCGAAGTGCGTGTCTGGAACGGAGTGGCGAGTTCATGCATTAGATTTAATGCCCGGAAACAAAGCATTTGTTTAGCTTTTTATTCATCATGGCACAAGACAGAACTTTAAGAAACACCACGGAAAATGTCACTGCCGACATGAAAATTAAGAGTAGCATGTTTCATAAAAAATTCTTCTTCTATAATACACATTCCCTTACGAAGTGAAAAAAAAAAAAAATCTCGTAAAATACTGAAGCGAATCGCCACCTGCTGGTCAAAAATGGTTTTGCGGTTGAAAAACTTGAAACTACTGAAGTATGTAGTAGGAGCATTTTACGATACACACAAAATTACCGAAGAAAACATGTCCTCGGCCTTTGGCGCGATGTAAGTACAAAGCTGGAGTTTTTGTCCAAACGTGACTTACTTTACAAAGCTTTGCTTATAATTTGGTTAATACTGATTATGGGGCAAAAGGAAAAACTTTTGTTCTGTAATTTGAATACTCTGTTTGGATGCTTAAACGCTTTATAGTTGGATTCCAGTTTGTAGTTTTTGAAAAATACATAAAAATTATATATAAATATATATTATATATGGTCTATATAAAATTGAATTTGATCTAAAATGGGAAGGACAACTTCTTAATTATTCTTTCTTTGTCAGGCACGGCCTTTCTCTTGTTCGATTAACTGAATCCTTTCTAAACAGATTCTAAAAATATATTCCATAATGTATCAAATTTAATATCTTCCTTAAAACATATTCAATATGAAAAAGCATTCAGTGACTACGTTTTCTTTTGCATCTCATGACTATATAAAAATATGGCTTGGCATACTCTGTTTTGTTTTGTTAGTGTTTTTCCTAGGCATTGAAGGAAGGGCTGTCCCCAGCTAAAAAGCTATGGCAAAAGCACAGAAACCTGCTTGTGCATATTCTAGAACATTCTATAGAATCTCATTACTCAGTATAAGTGAAGTGATTTTTAAAAATTGTTCCTTCTGTTTCTGTGAATATATCATATACGATTATCATACAGAATCTGTTACAGAATATACAACAGTCAAAACTGAAGTCACATAAATACAGTTAAGCTATATCAAAGCAAGGGTTTTATCTTATACAAAGCCAACGCGAGTAGTTTTTCGGTTGGATATCACCATCCGTTTTTGTTTTCGTTTTCTCCTAAGGCTGGCTATGCAATAGAAGTTTATTATAAATGGCAAGGGTACTAGTGCTCTCTATCTTTAAGTGAGCTGGGTTTCTCTCGTGTTATTTTTTTTTAAAGTGTTAAAGAAGAAAAACCAGCAAGTGTCCAATTGTCCAACACCAACTTTTTCCCCTACGGAGTGAAAGAAGGCTGTCTGGGCCGTGGGGGTGTGCGCTTGGGTGGGCTCATACCAGCGTTTCCGGGAGGGCATCGGGGTTGTCGGTCGATAAGAGCTCCCAGATCTGCCACCGCTCTCTCTGCCAATCCAGCCAGTTGGGGTCACCCAAAGTCTTACTGTTCTGATCGCTGGCGGAAGTGGAGTAGGCGCTGCTCAGTTTTTGCTCAGCGGCTTGCTGCTCTCGCTCGGCTGTTTGGCTTCCCTCTTCCAACGCTGTTCTGGAACCTTCTTCTGGCCTCTGAGGCCTCCACAAGAGCGGCTCTGCTGGCTGGTGGGATGACGCTACAGCTTGCTTCCCGGGACCAGGATACGGAGGCGGAGGCCTCTTGTCACGCTTCTCACTCCCTCGAGGTCTCTGGTGCAAAGGCTTGGCTCTGCTCTGCAGCCAGACCACATCGAGCTCACTCTCAGTGAGGTCTTCGGCGCTGCTCAGAGTCAAATACTGCTCTGACTTCGGTGTGGCCTGCTCACACCTTCTGCCGCCGCCCTGGATGTGGGGCGTGCTGCAGACGCGCGACTCAGGAGGGCAGGCCCTGCACTCCACGATGGTGGCCGTGGTCTGAGTCCTCCGAATGGCCTGCAGGCCACCTTCCAGTTCTGTGGGGCTCCCCTGCCCTCGGGGCCAATTTGGGGACAGGTTCCCTTGAGAAAGGGAGCATGGCCCCGGTCGGAGGGCACTGCTCTCAAAAAGGTCTCCATAGGAACCTGGAAGCCGGAGAGAAGGGCGAGAAATGGAGTTAGTTTGTAGAATCCCTCCTGGGATGTGTCCTGCTATTTCCTTCCCACGGCCACCTTCAAAAATTGAGAAAGCACAGGGCACTCCTCCCGCTGCCTAAAGTAAAACATGTCCTAGGAAAGGAAATGACAAATCACGCTTTGCTATTGGCACAATTCACGGAGCAGCTCCAGATCCGGATGTCAAACTAGATTCAATAGTCCTTGTCACTAATTTGTTTCAGGAAAGGCCCCTTCCACGTGGCTTCTGAACCTGGAAGGTAAAGAAAGTGTTCTCTTCTCGTTCGGTGCGATTTGCAGTCCTGAGGAGACACCAACGATAATGCTTTGATGTCTCCACCATGTCAGTAAAAGGTGTTGGAATAAACGAACTGAACCTAAAATGCCCCATCTCGGGCCAGAAGGTAATGAAGACAGCAGCTGCTGTGTAGACCCCACCGCCACCAGTGTGGGAAAGACTGGCCCCGTCCTCCCACTTATTAAAAAGCAGGCAGGGAAAGAGAAGAAGATCATTTTGCGCAAGAGATATGAGCATTTGAACAGGGACTGAGCAGAGTTGAAATAGCAGAAGGAAATGGAGCAGAACATCTTGGAATAGTTTATCCTTGGGGGAAAAGGTAGTAAAAGCACTTCGTAGGATACAACGCAATGTGGTTACGTAATGGGTCAGTACTAAACTCAGCTGGCTTAGAGGCCGCTAAAGTAAAGATGCACCGAGCTTTAAAAATGGAATATGGGCGGGGGCGCCTCGGTGGCTCAGTCCGTTTAAGCTGCCGACTCTTGATTTCGGCTCAGGTCAGGATCCCAGGGTCGTGAGATCGAGCCCCGCATCAGGTTCCGAGCTTGGCGCGGAGTCTGCTTGGGATTCTCTCTCTCTCTCCCTCCGCCCCTCCCCCTGCTTGCTCTCTCTCTCTAAATATAAATAAATAAAATCTTTAAAAAAATAAAAATAAAAAATAAAAAAATAAAAAACACCAGCTTGGGAAAGTTCAGCTAATTAATAGAGAAACTGGAAAATAATGGTGAGAAAGAAATGCAAATGAAAATAATAAATACAATTTTGTTTTCTTTTTTAAAAGATTTTATTTATTTGAGAGAGAGAGTGTGTGCGCATGAGCAGGGGGAGGGGTAGAGGGAGAGGGAGAAGCAGGCTCCCCGCCGAGCAGGGAGCCCGATGCGGGGCTCGATCCCAGGACCCTGGGATCACGGCCTCAGCAGAAGGCACACACTTAACGACTGAGCCACCCGAGTGCCCTCAATTTAGCAAAAATGCAAACCCAATGATGTGCAGCGCCGGCACCGCATGTTGAAACGCCCCGGACGACTGCACCGAGGTGGGCGGGGAAGGGGCTGTACCTCTGGGTGCTTGGAAAGGTGCATAATATTTGGACCCACTGCCCTATTCTGGATGTGTAACTTGCTTTCCAAAATTTTGTGAATCTATTAATCGTTGAAAATACAAAACAAAAAGTACGTGAAAGAGGTTCCTGACAGCATAACTTATTACAACGATGACAAAAAAAAAAATGGGTTGTAAACTATGAGTATGCACTCTGGAATACTACGTGGCCCTTAACAATAAAAATGGCAAATAAGTGGGAAATGCAAGTTAAACAGATGATACCAAGTTGCACGGACAGAATGACGGTAGCTATGTTTAAAAACCCTTGCAAAGGAAGTGAAATGAAATATAGTGAAAGACTGATGTATTTTGGCAGAAAGGCTAAGTATAGCTTGATCTGGTTTCCCCCCTATTTTCAGCATTTTCCAAATAATGCTTGGCAAGTAGTAATACGACAGTAAGGCAAAAATTAAAGAATACTAAGTTTAAAAGTAAATGCAATAAACGGTCTTGAAAAGATAATATGTCACCTGTCATTCCTGGGTCTTTGGAACCACTTTTTAATGTTGAATGCCAAGTTCCCCAGATATTGAAAGGCTCCTCTGACATATCTAGGAAAAAGTGTATAGAGAAAGGTATGTCACTCACAATGAAAGGTGAAGAGCAAAACTCAAGAAACCAGTATTTTCGTAACAGCGCCACATTCAAGACTGTGGTGGATACAAGACAGAATATGACGCATGCCTGCCTTTCAGGGGCTTATCCCATTTGGGGTTTACAAAAAGGCTTCCTCTCTAATGGTTGTGGTACCCAGAATCAGGCCCCCCAAAGATGCCTGTGCCACGATCCTCGGAACCTGTAAAGAGGTTATGCGCCAAAGGGACTTTACAGGTGTGATGAAATGATTGAGTCTTGAGATGAGAAGATGATCCTGGATTATCTGGGCGGGCCTGATGCAATCACAAGGGTCCTTATAAGGGGGAAGGTGGAAGAGAAGATGCTACATTGCTGGCTTTCAAGGTGGAGGAAGGGCCATGAGCCCAAGAACACAGGCGGCCTCTGGAAGCTAGAAAAGGCAAGGGAAGAGATTGTTCTTTAGAGCCTCCTGAGGGAATGCAGCCCTGCGGACCCATTTTGGATTTCTGAAGTCCCAAACTGTAAGATGATAAATGCATGTGTTGTTTTGTCTTTTTAAAAATTTTATTTATTTATTTGAGAGAGAGAGAGCCTGGGATGTGATCATAATGAGTATTTCTCGAAGCCAAAGTCTACCGGGCGCTTCCCGGTGGCAGCCATTCAAATGCACTCTCTCCTTTAATTCCCAGGAGATGCCCTGAGTCCACTTTAGAGGTGAGGCCAGCGGCGGAAGGAGCAGCTAAGAACTGCACGTGGTTATGGAGCGAGGACTGTCGAGCGCTTCCTACGTGCCAAGTTGCGGGTTGAGGACTTTACATGGATTAGCTGGTTAAGCTCTATGAATGAATACGGCTGTCTTTCCTAGTTTTCATACAAGGAAGAAAGGGGACTCCAAAAAACTCAATCTTTCCCACGAGGTCCTGCAGCTTGAAAGTGGCAGCATGGTTACTGACTCCAAATCAAGCGCTCTTGTCATGGGATACTAACATGACTTGTTTCTTTTCTTTTCTTTTTTTCTTTAAGATTTTATTTATTTATTGGACAGAGAGAGAAAGAGCACAAGCAGGGGGAGCGGCGGGCAGAGGGAGAGGGAGAAGCAGGCTCCCTGCTGAGCAGGATCCCCCGAATGTGGGATTCGATCCCAGGACCCTGAGATCATGACCTGAGCCAAAGGCAGATGCTTCACTGACTGAGCCACCCAGGCGCCCCTAACACGACTTGTTTCTAGTTCCCTCGGGGTGAGGTTATTTCCAGGGAGAAAGTTACGCTTAGGTAGGATTGCTCAGCCGCTGCACCGGTGATATTTGGGGCCGGATCTTTCTCTGTGTGGGGCCGTCCTGTGTGCTGTGGGATGCTGAGTAGCAGCCCTGGGCTTTACTGTCTACACAGCAGTAGCACCCCGTCCTGGGCTGTGACAGCCCCAAACGCCCCCAGACATTGTCAGATGTCTCCCTGGATACAAAATCGAGGACCACAGTGTTAGAGTTGGCCGGGATATCGAATGGACAGAAAGAACAAAGATGTGCTTTAGTCCACCTGCTAATTAGAGCTAATGTGTATCTTAGCCTACCTGCTAAGAAACCACGAAGCAAACACACTGATCCTGGGAAGAAAGAATCAAGCTTTCTTAGTGGTAAGTTGTCTAGTAATCTCTCTTTGAATTTGTATTTAGAGACCCAAATATGCCATGCCTTTCATAATAGCAAAAGTCTCTTCAGACTGCCTTTTTTGTTGCTGTTATTGCAGAGAATATTGCATACAGAAAATGTGTCACTAATTTAAAAGAGCAGAAACTAGAGATCATCTATATGCATCAGAAAGGGAGAAAGGGAATAGTCAGAAATCTATGATACATCGATTTAATGGGAATATATAGTGGCCATGAAGAATGTTAGCAAAATGGAAAATGTCAATGATACGATTTTAAGTAAAATAAGCTGAATTCAAAAGCAGCTATGCTTTGAAAACAAATATATCAAATTAGGGATGCACCTGGACAAGGACTAGAAAAAATAAAGTTTCACATTTTACTTTTTTTAAAGATTCTATTTATTTATCTGAGAGAGAGACAGACAGAGATGGCAAGAAGCGAGCATGAGCAGGGAGGAGAGAGAGAAGCAGGCTCCCGCTGAGCAGGGAGGCCGACGCAGGGCTCCATCCCAGGACCCTGGGATCACGACCTGAGCCGAAGGCAGATGCTTAACTGACTGAGCCACCCAGGCGCCCCAAGTTCCACATTTTAAAAATAAATTTTACGCTTGAGGGGAACATGGGTTACTGTTTTCATTACAATTTTTAAAAATTATTTTTTGACATGAATATTTGTAAAATAAAAATAAATATGCTATGATTTAGAACACCCCCCCCCCGAAAAAAAAAACCCATCAAAAAACAGCCCTTTCAGGGTGTCTGTTTGGGTTAAGTGATACATGTAGGATAAGAGAGCAAGAATTTGTACTGTGTCTTCCACTTATTACTCAGAGCGTCCTGCTGAGTCCTGGCACTGAGGAATTACCCTGTGGAGGGAAAGAGCAGAACCAAACATTCAGTGGTCAAATAAATTTGGGAAAAACTGCAAACCACACTCTCCTTTCCATTGTGCGAATTAATGGTGCCCATTAGCACTTTAAAGAGTTTGAGAAATTATACAATAGAGAAACTATTAGCTTGGTTAACCCAGCATTCCCCAAATGTATTTGACCACGGAACCCTTATTTTGCTAAAAAAACATAAAAATAAAAATCTTAAATCTCCCATGGAGACCTCTTTGGAACATGATGTCTCTTTATATAGTGGGTTCAGCTTGTCCTCTTTATAGAAGTAGCAGCAATAATTGGGTGACATGTTAGACTAGCAAAGATGCACCCAAACTCACTGGCCAGGACATATCAAATTCCTCAGATGCTCAGGGGAAGGATCAGCTGGGAACATCAGTGGCTCTCTGGGCATGAGACTGCTTCCCAGATGCCCCGGTCAGCAGGGAGCCTCCGAGACCATGACTGGGCTCGCCCACCACACCTTCCTCTTCCTAGAGCAGGAAGTCAGTAAATGTCACAGAATGACAGAAACATGAAACAAGGAAGAGGCGAAGAGACGGTCCAAGGGCCCGCACCATGCCACCTGCAATCAGAGTCACTGATGTGGCCCGCGCCAGCCAGGTTCCAGTTACCTTTGCCAAGCCTTGGTCCAGGAGAACTCTCCCTTGATTTCGACGATGGCAAGTGGCTCACCAGCACATACTGCTCCGGCCCTTTGTAAAGCTTCTCCGAGCCCCCCGGGGCCGCGTCCTCTTGCATAGCCAGCAAGGAGCGCTCAGACAGCACTGGGGAGTTGTTGTCATAAGGGGAGAGGTCTCCGCTGGAGGCCTTGTTGGAGTCGGTGGACGAGTGCCTTCCTCCCACAGAAAAGGAAACTTCCGATCGCAACATGTCAGGGCTTCTGGTGCAAGAAGACAATGGCAAGTGCGTGAGTGTGTTAACACTTAGTGACCAGATTCAAACAATACGACCGTTACACAAAAGACAGGCGGAGAATGCATGGGCACAGGGGCTGAAACGAAAAGACCTTCGGAGCCATGTTCCCAGACTTGTACGGCAATAACGGGAAGGCGTTTCCCCGACATGGCCGGCAGAGGGCAGTGAAACCCCACAGTTGTTACGGAAACTGTCAAGGCGGAGGGAGGAGGGGAAGGATGAAACAGACTTGGATCCCTGCATTCTCCGCTGGGCATCGCTGAAATGCCTGTCGCGTTAATCCCGTCTCCACTGGGAAAGTCAAGTCTGAGGCTCCCTATCTTTTAAGTAAGGCAAAACTGGTGGATAACTCTTTTACGTTCCTCAATATCCTGATTTTAAAATAAGTCACATAAAACTACGACTGAAACTTTACAAGAAGTTCATTATGGCTTTACGGGTAACGTCTCTTCCCCCTGCCCAAATACTTGATGTGACTAAATCCATCTTGCCTGTGATGACGACTCTGGATGATGATGGTGATGATGCTTCTGGTGGGAATAACAGTCTCACGTACAGAGGCCAACGAGACAAATATATGACCATCACTAGCGTTCACTGTATTTTAATACTCTAGTGCTTTCACAGAGTAATATAAAACAGGCTAATTAGCATATGCAGTATGTTTTCTATGTGCATGAGTTGTCACAGCAACAGAAATAGCAGTGAAAATGCGAGAGGAACAGGAAAATGAGAACGTCAGCAACATGAAACGAGTGTTGGAAGTCTTACCTGGGAACATCTGCATTTTCTACCTTCCTCAGAACAGTGGCCCTGACATCTTAAAGGGAAATGATCACAGAGTGATTAAAAGTTCCAGAACCTATTTCTGTCTCTCCCCCACAACCCTGCTTCATTTCTCTATTACTAGTCTTTGCTTTCTTCTGCTTTCATTCTTCAAAACAAATCCTCTGGGATCTTAAAGAAGGTAAACACATGCCTGAGCAATCTTTTCCTAACTAGCTGGTTGTGTGCACGCAGCACGGAGGACGGGGGACGCGCACTCACAGGGGACCTAGCTTAGTCTCGGGTTTCCAGCGCGCGTTAGCGTCCAGGAGAAAAGCATTTCAGCATCTGTGACATGCCTCGCCTGTTACTGACGCAGCCAGGGGCTCGAGCACTTTTTGCTGAGGCAATTTCTTACCCACGTGGAATAAACAAGTCCTTTCCTTGTCTCCTCTTTAAACCGATGACAGACAATCTTATGGGAAAAGAGCCAGAGAACCACCATGAGGATGATTTTCCAGAGACGTTAGGCCTCCAGTGAATGAAGGAAAACTCAAAAGAACTTATTATTTCTGCTGGAAGGGGGGGGGGGGGGAGGGAGGAAACTAACCTCCATATCTAATTCAAGGGGGGAAGTCCCCCTAATTCTAGCAGAGGGAAACACAAAGCAAAACACATGGACACTTGTCTGTCATGACTTTGACTCCAGTTGAGGAAGCTATACTACGAAAATAAGAAAAACTGAATGTGTTGAACAGGTTGCTCAGCTTAGAATCAGGGTTCGGGCCAGGGCTAGAAATTCTATGACTGGGCCCATTTCCGTTGTTCTCCCCGTTTAGTTAATGGGTTTCCCCAGTCATTAATGAAAATGTCTCTGTCTACCCAGCAAGAATAAGTCATGGTGTTATATCCATAACAGCGGGGCCAGAAAGCCTTCCTTTATGGGATGTTTTAAAGAGAGCCAAGTCAATTCATTAGCCAAAACAAAATAGCCATCAGGGCTACGAATGCTTTTTTGCTCCCTCCCATTGGGAGGAGAATGTCGGAAAGGTATTTTCACTCACGGAGACCCCAATTACTGTCTCGTGTCTTGTTCATCTGTCTTGAAGAACAGAGAGAATACGTTCAGCAAAACGTGACAAGTTGCAGATTCAGCCGACAGGTGCGTAAAGAAAGGTACCCTGCGGGAGAACTGCATCGCGTCTCAGCACTGGGAACATCTATCTGGGTTTCTGCCGAGCAAGTCGGTGATTCCCCCCCTCCAGTGGACGCGTGCATCGCGTCACAAATAACATAGGTCTCTCTGCTAAGGCTGCGAAAGGCTCCCGGGCGCGGGGCTCTGCTCGGGGGCTCGGGGCTCGGGATGCAGGAAGCCTGTGGGCGCCGCTTGCGCTCCCGCCCCAACCTCATCCTACCTTCTGGCTCGCTCTTCCCCCTGCTTTCCTTTCCCTCGCCTCGCCTCTCAAATTGCTCACTACGACATTGTTCCACTTACATATTTCTGTCAGCTGCTTCAATACCCTCTCTTTCAGGACTGGTGTACAGACAGGGAAAGCGCACGCACAGGAATTATTGGGGGCACGGAAAAGTCTTCATGAGAACATTTAGTGTGCTTAACCCAAACAGAATCAAACAAAGAACAATCACAACAGTCACAAAAATCACCGAAGCTGCCACGCGATCTTCCTTCCTTGGCTCTGGTGGAGAAGAGGCGACAGAGGAGGAGGTGGAGGGCCACTGTCCCTCTCCTCCGTTCTTTGGGGAACATGGCCGGGGGAACTTGCTGGAAATGCAAATTCTCCAGCTCCATTCTGGGCCTATTGACGGGACTGGCTATAACATGTGGGGCCCCCAGGGGAAAAACTATTAAGAATTTCAAGGTGGTCACAGCAGATCATCAAGCCAAACGTGGGCTCCTTCTCTGTGGAGGTCCTGCGCAGCCGCCCGGTCACAGACCACGAGGCTGGCTTTGCCCGTTGAAAGGGCATCTGGGAGCAGGGCTAGCAAACTGTGTTTTAAAAAGCCCTCCAGGTAAGTGTGCTTCGCGGGCAAGTTTGAGAACCCCCACGCCGAAGCTACCTTCCCTCCCTCATCCATAGACAGGACAGCAGGCTGAGGCTCCCAGGGAGCCAAACTGGGAAGGAAACACAGACAGTGGCCCAAACCTCAGCACTGGCTGACAGAGGGGGTAAGCGTGCTGGTCCTGACCTTGACGTGGCTGGGGCCAAAGCTGAATAGAAGGTGTGCCCATCCCAGCCAGCTCCGGTCAGCCGGACCCAGATAACTGACTGTAGTTTGGTTGTGGGTCAGAACGCATTAAGGGGACAGGGAGCAGGAGAGGTCGACCTGCCTTTCTCTGCTCTCCTGGCTCATTCTCCTAAGTCAAGCCACCGAAGTGACGACATCTGGGGCACCAACCAGGGGAGAACCTGGAGGAGGTGGCTAAAGCTAATCCCTGAAGGTAGAGGCAGAGGCCTGTCTCCCAGTCGACACAGGCCACGAACCTCCTCAGGGTGGCTGGGCTCACAGCCAGGAACACAAGCAGACGGGGCTGTCCAAGGAGAGGTGATGCCTTCCTTTCCCAGCCACCCAGCACAGCTTAGTGACCAAAGAGGCTATGGTTTGCGACCCCATGGCAAGCCGCTTGTGAAGTGCACGGATGTGAAATGACCCCTTGGCCTGCGACAAGGGTAAGAGCTGGTGCTCACCCGGAGCTCAGGCAGTACGGTGGACATTGTGCTAATAAGCACTGCCAACAACTCTCCTCGCTCCTGACGACGGTCTAGAGCTGAGCGGAAGACACGAGGACATCACGTGTCTTTCTAGCAGCCGGGGCAGTGGGGCTCGAGACCCTTCTCAAATTTATTTGATAAATAGTATGCAGTCTTACTGCTACGTGCTATACTCGGAGTCGATGGCCCTCGTAAATGCTTGAGCTATTTCCTAGCTGTCATTTCATCTTCCCAGCCGAGGTCGGTAAGGCGGTGGCCACATTTGCCTAAGAACCCATGTCCGGAAACTGAGCTTTCCACACGAGAGCCTGCCAGTTAGTCAACGAAACCAAACTATTTTATTCACTTCTCAGGACTCTCACTGACAACGTAGGCAGTTCCAAGGTTAAAAAAAAAAAAAAATGGGTGGCATGCCATGGCTTTATCATTAAATCTACTGGAAACAAAACCAGAACCCCTACTTTGGGTATCACTGAAAGATGAGACGAGCGGCCACCACCGCCTTCACTAACATTCGCCTCGAGGACGATTCGACTCTAGGCAGACCATTTTCAGTTCAGTGCTGCAAGTCAAGGTAATAAAAGATTTGTATTTCTTTATAGAAAATATTGAACCGGGGACTCACTAGATGACGAATAGTCTGCAAGCAGGTAGTGGGCTCTCTCTGTCTTGGGATTTAGTGGATGGAGGCTGGGAATGGTGAGTGGCTAGCTAACCAGTTGGCATGGGCTTGCCTCCACGAATGGAGGGCTTTTCTCCACAAGACCTGACAACCCCAGGACCATGCACGGCAGGCGCGGCCAGTCTCAGCTAACCAACCAAGCATGAGATGGACATGGAGAGAGCACATCACTTTCTCACCCTTCGGTGATCCCTCCAGGTCAGGGGGTTAAGATGCCACTGGCAGGGTACTGTGGGCGGGCCTGCCCTGCAGCTGGAGGCACAGAACTTGTTCTGCGGATAAATGGAAAACTCTGGTTCAATCCACGGATGTGGCAGCCCAGCCCCTTGCCGAGCTACCCCAGTGAGAAACATCCTTGGAGACGGCAAGCTTGTGTTGGCTTCATCCTTGGCTTAATCGTTCAGCTGAGAGACCTCAGTCTGTTGGAACCCAAAGCACATAACCATCTCCGACACGATTCAGTGCCCGGGGAGGGGAGTCCAGCGCCACAACAACTCAGGATTTAGGGAGGATTTTCACAGGAATCATGCTCAGTTCTGCAAAGCAGCCCTTACGCAGACAAAGGCACCCCCCTCGAAAGAGAAGCTGACAATGGAGCCAAACTCCCCACCAGGAGATGAGGCTGGCACCCTGGACATTAAGACTTACCCAGGGCTTTGGTGAAATTTCTCCCCTCCCTTTTAGCTCTTATGGATTCCCTCCTAATAGCCGTGGCACGTGAAGGCATTTAGGACAGGGGGAGAGAAAACGATGCTGGCTTTATTCTCTCTCCTTTTTTTTTTTACA